AAGTTCTGAATCTCTTTTGGGGGGTAAAAGTCAGTTTCAAGTGAAAAGTTTGTGCAGGACGGTCTTGTACAGGGGCTGCCAGACCTCTCTTGGGCTACCAGGAAAATGATCCTGCCGGCAAATGTTGAGAGAACATGGATGAACTTGCGTGCTTGGAGTGTTTTGACATCAGGGGTTTACACCCATAAAATGTGTGGGATTGGATCCAGTGACTTTGTAGGAGGTCTTTTGGATGATTATTGTGCAGTGGCCTAACTGTATTTAACTGTATTTAATCAAAGTAATTGTATTTCTGCTTCTTAAAAGAGCTTAGCATTGTATTGCCACAGGGTTTCTCTCAACCAGCAGTAACGTTCCTTTGCAGAAACAGCTTCATTTGTATTGATTCCTTGTAATAGTAGAGAACCAACAGTGCACCGTGTTATTTATTAGACTGAGGGACACCAAAATATTGTATTATTTTCTATTAGGTGATCAAGTACAAGAGCACTGTGTTAGTAAGTGTGGTAGAAATGTTTAGCTGGAACATGAGAACTGCTTGCACAGGAAGCCACTTCATTCTTAAGATGCCAAACACTTTTTTTTCTTCCCTGCAGAAATGCCAAACACATCTTTGTCTTTGCTGCTTAATTTTTTTTCCATCTGTTCCTGTTGTATTTCAGTTCTTGCATGCACAATTAAATAGATTTTTTTCCTTAATTCCCTTTAAAAAACTCTCATGAAGGACAGATTGAGAGTTATTGTTTTGAAGAGTCTTGGGATGAAACTGGAGGGAGGTGGGCTCCATGGATCAGCCAGTCCTCAGCATCAGATCGGAGGCTGTTAGTACAGAGAGCTGTTGTTTTTCTAACACAGACTGGTGCTCTCTGGGGTCACCAGTCCATGTGCAGGTACGCCATCAAGTTATTAAAGGAGGAGATAACAGCCAGCTGTTTTCACTGGTTTGGGCTGAATCAGAGCTGTTCTTTTGTATGCAGGAGCATCTCTGCCCCAGGGATGAATCTGTTGGGACAGATTACATTGGTCCCCTTCTCCACCTCCAGCTGCGAGCTCTGCTTCATGTGAGCTCTGCTGTTTAATGGCACATGGAGCTCTGGTGATGCTTAGGATGGTGATCTGCTTGTGGTGGCCTGTGGAGCTCTGGAGATCTCAGGATGCTGAGCTCTCCGTACCAGCCATGGCAGGGATCCCCTGGGATCAGCTCCGTTGTGCTGTTGCTCTTTTGGCATTCAGGAAAGCAATAAACCTGTCTAAACCTGACAGCCTGCTGCAGAAAACTTAGTCTGCTTAAAATCACCGTTTCTTTGAAATGAGCTGTTTCTCTTCC